GTGCCGCCCCCCTCCCCGGCCCTGCGGGGCGGCGGGGGTCGGTCTGGTGTCCGTCCGTGCCCCCCACCCCGCCGTCGCCTTCCCAGCGGGGGGAACTGAACTCAAACGGCTGGGGGGGTTTCTACCCGTCGGTGCCGTGGGGTGAGTGCTAGACGTACAGTTTGATAACAGTTTTTTAAGCACAAATATCTTAAAATCAAGCCTGCGGAATTGTGAGAAAGGCTGCTTCTGATCAGTATGTTGGATTTCAAGAGTGTATCCATTGATCTCTCCGTTCAAGTAGTAGTTACGTAGATTTCTATGGCCATATGGAACTAAATTATCATATTTGCCAACCACCTCGAAGAAAAGAAATCACTAATCTATATAATAAATGAAAATTATTTTAAAAGTCCATTACAACAGCCACAAGGTGATGACTTAATACCTTACCTGGATCAAAATTAACCAAAAATATTCAGGATTGATCCAATCTTTCATCCAGTCCCAAGTACATCTCCTTTCCTGTCTCTTTTTCAGGCAGGTTAGTGTAGAAGGGCAGTTTGTTATATGCAGAACTTATAAACACTATGTATTCCTTAAACTTAACCTTGATTTAACCTAGATTTTTGTTTGGAAAGGAAGTCGGCAAAGGATTTGTTGCAGTCACTGATGAATCTGCAAAAGGAGACTCTTTAGCACCATGTATGCGGCATTTGTCTTAGGATTTGCATTAAGAAAGAGAAGTTAGCTGATGGGTAAATTGTGTGGGCAGTTTGTATGATATTTTTCTGCTTTTGATCTTATGTAAAGACTTAACTTATGTTGTCATTTGCTAAAGGTGTTCCTTCTGTTGTTTCCCAAAATCATTCAGAAGCACTGGTATTCCTGACAGAATGAGATACTGTTTGCTATTGATCTGTTCCGAGTTCCATATTTATAACCTTACCTGGCGCAAACGAAAGAGACTGGCCACTAGGGTGTGAGAGCCCTGTATCCTGCTGGGATACACAAGTTAATCTAAATTCATCTATAATCTGAATGCTACTTCAGTTGTTTCTGCAAAATACCAAAAGGGTACTGGAATGAAATCCTTTGAGAATGTACCAGGTAGTAGATCTTGAGGCACTGATGTATGTGAACAGAAAATTCAGTTGACGGCTGAATGTAGATGTGTAGAGGAAAAGGGAGAGATTTGTTTCAGCAGAGTTACCGCTCGACATAAAGCATATTTCCAGTTTACGTTGCACTGAGTTTGCAGAAAGGCAATAAAGCTTTGGCCTTTTGGGAATTCTGCAGTGCAAAACAAACCTATCTTACTGTTGCTATACCAGGAGAAAACTATATTGTGAATTAATTTTCATTTACATTGTAATACTACTACTTCAATAGTAATTAGTAAGAAATGTAGATTTCAATATTAGTCTGTAAAAGAAAAGAACATTGCATACTGTTCTGAAATTTTGTAGGGATTTCTTTAAATAATACAACAAGTTAAAGATAAGAAATCATGTAAGTTCTTTGAAAAAGCATATTTAACGCAATTTTTATAAAAATGTGTTTATAGGTCATTGTTTATAATGTAGCTGCATCTGAAGAAATAGCAAGTGGCTTTGGTCATGCTGACTAACAACATAGGGCATCATTTAACGGTACGTCAAGCAATGCTTCCAAGAAACCTGAAGCCGTTTCCCTACATTTGTGGCAACAGAATGTTGTCGGGTTACAAACCTAAAAGCAACGTCAAGGACTCCTACAAAATTCTTGAGCTTGAGGAAGGATGTTCCCTTGATGATATCAGAAACTCGTATCGAAGTCTTGCCAAAAAATACCATCCAGACAGCGGTTCTACCACAGCTGACTCCGAAGCATTTATGAAAGTAGAAGAAGCATACAGAGTCGTGCTCAGTGATGTGGCGACCAAAAAGAAATCAAACGAGAATAATGAAGAGGAGGAAGATCAGTTCAAATCAAAAGCGCCACAGCATAGACACTACCTGAGTTTTGAAGGCGTTGGTTTTGGAACACCAAGCCAAAGAGAAAAGCAATACATGCAATTTCGAGTAGACCGTGCTACTGAACAAGTGTTGGAGTACCGGAAGCAGAGACTTGAAAGCCAGTACGCTGTGACTGACCTAATGAAAGCCAAAGATGTGAGGCAGAGCAAAAAGGTGAAGATAACTCAGGCAGTTGAACGGTTGGTTGAGGACCTCATCCAGGAATCGATGGCGAAAGGGGACTTTGACAACCTCAGTGGCAAAGGAAAACCTTTGCAGAAATTTTCAGACTGTCCACATATCGACCCTATGACTCACAACTTGAACAGGATTCTGATAGACAACGGATATCAGCCGGAGTGGATCCTGATGCAGAAGGAAATACGGGAAACTATTGAGCGGTTAAGGAAGAGCATAGTGGCATCCAGAAGTAAGCTTGGAGGGCCAATGACACCGTATAGGCAAAAGCAGTGGAATCGTATTTGTGAGCAATTTACAGAAGATATCAGGAAATTAAACAAAAGAATTGACAACTTCAATTTAGTTGTTCCTATTCTGAGCAGACAAATGGTGCACTTCAGTGCAGACAAAGAAATTGTTCGAGCACAAAAGACTTACGAAGCTTTGATGGAAAACAGAGAGGCTTCTAATTCAGACACAAAGGAAAATGAAGAGGAAAATGTTAAAAGGTTTGGGTGGAAGTCTTCTCTATTTAAGTGGTTAAACCTTACATTGAAATAAGATAATACTAATTTGTCTGTCTTGTCAAGATTTTGAATGCACTTTATTACTGAAACTTGTAGCACTAGGGAAATTTCAGGTACACTGAAAATGTAAAATCCAGCTGTCCACTGTTACACCAGTTAAAAGGAATTGGGTTGTCTGATGTGCACTTGCAGGTGCTTAATTGATTTATTTGTGAATATTGTTAAGGAACAAATAAATTCAGTTACCCTCTTGCAGCTCATTTTCCTTCTGCTTAAATCAAAATTAACACTTCGCTTTAGCATAGAGTATAATCACATTTACAGTCTGTTATCTCTTCAGGAGGTGAAACTGAGGCCTAACAAAAACATGTTAAGGACAAAGTGGAAGTGAAAGTCTTGCTGTGCCCTGTTCGACCTTTATCCTTTCTTATTTAAATGCTTACAGCTCATGAATTGTTGACAGGTGTCATGCATTTTTTTAAAAGTACAGTCACCTCTTCAAGGTTAAGTTAAATGGGAATGAAGGGAGGGTTCTGGATGTCTGGACTTGGACTGTACCTTCTGCATTTTTGGATCTGGCTTTTAACATAGAAGGAGGTCTCAGCATCCGAGCAAATAAGGAAGACTGGCCAAAACTGTACCCTAGTTGCAAGGCTTTTTGGAGGTGAGAGGAGAAGGGAATATTAATTTTCAACAGTAATTGCACCATTTAAATATTTTAGAATATTGGCATCAAGAACTTACTGTGAAATATTGCTGTACTATTGAAGTTTCTGGGTAGTGGCTTGGAGGGCGGGAAAATCTCCATGATGCCAAAGATTTACTTATCTTTAGTAACCTCTCAGCTCCCCACATGATCTGATTTTCCTGGAGGACTTTGTCTTCGATAAAGGTGTCACTGGATGTATCAGCGTCTGTGTGGTCCCCCTTCCTGCCTCATGCCTCTGTGACTCAGACTGTCGCTGTCTCCACCTGTGCAGGAGTTGTGCAGTGCCCTGCCAGTCCGTAGGAAGGTGTCCCATGGACTCTGGTATGCCATGGAGGGGGAAGTTCCACTCTCAGAGTTTCAGAAATGAAAGCTAGGTGATGATCGCAGCCACCCTCTGGCAGATGCCCCAGCACCAGCAGAGGCTGGGTTAATGCGTTTGCTTTGGGGCAGGTAACACTGCATGTGCTCCTTTCGGTCTTTGTGCTCTTTTTCATCTAGGTGAGGTCTTAACGTGCAGGCAGAATGTTATTTGCTCGTCGGATGGATTAATTGAAGTATCATTTGTCAGAGGGTATTACATAATCTAGGAATATAATTGAATATAATTTATTTATTGGTAAACACTATAGATCTTTGTGTTACAGCAAATAAGTAATCATGGCAAGATGTTTATCATGTTTTAGAAAACAGGGCTAATCTCAGCTGCCTTTAATGTACCTTTTTGTGGGAATTAAGGTGGCAAAAGAAGAACGGCGTTATGTGCAGGCTGATCTGTTGCCCCTAGATCATGCCGCTGGGATGCTTGCGTGCTGTGCCGTGCCCTGGTGTTCGCTGAAAGGATTAGATCATGGCAATTAGTTCCTTTCTGCTGAGATTCAGTTAGAGGGCAGGGGCACGCTAGCGGTGCGTGGATCAGTTGGGCCAGCCAGTAATTAATGTACTCTTCAGCGGCTCTCCAAGTTTGCAAAGACGGGAAGAAATAATGGGTGTCTTGCAGATACGGGAGTTAAGTCCTGTATAGTGGTGAAGTGGGAACAAAATGTGCGTGTGGTCTTGATCTGCCATATAAGTAGCCCCAGTCTAAATGTTCAGAAAGAAAAATCAGGTTACGTGGCAGCCCTCTGTTTCTGGAGACTCCGTAAGAGTTCAGATTGCTGTCCTTTCCTTTGTGACACGGACATGATGCACTGAGGTTGTGGTGTTAGACCAGGTGACACCAGAAGGCTTTGACCTCGTAAGCTCCTCGCTCATTTTAGCAGCTGTGTGTATGAATGTCTGTTTACTTCGATAACTTATCTATGCATTCTTGCTTTTAATGACAACTGTAAATTAAGCATACTTTTATGGAAGTCCTTTGGCATAGTACTCTTAAAAAGATAAGATTTTGATTCTCATTATGATCTACGGGAATCGGATCTGAATTGCTGTTTAATCCAGTGACAGATTTAAAAAGAGCTAATGGCAAATCGAATTCATTGCACAAGAGTAAATAGAAACCAGATTGCAATAAATCCAGCTTTGATGGAATCCGCTTTGGCTCACAATGAAGATAAGTATCAGCCCTTTAAATATTTAAGTTGCCATAATGGATGAGTCAGCATACTGAGTGATTTTTATGTTCCTTTTAAAACTACTTGGTTTTAAATGGAGTAGATGTGACCTGACTCTCAGCACTTTAAATCAGCCTTACACTGTTGTCATGAAAAATTGCCAGGCACAAGAATCCACTTCTTCGACATTTAAGGCAATGACGATGAAAAAAATAATTTAAATTTTTATTTTCCCCAGGTGCGCGGAGGAGTATATTTTTTGCAGGGCTGGTCTGTTTTTTTTTGTTGCTCTGAGCTCACAAAACCTTAAGAGCGGTACTTAGTCAGCACTTCTAGAACAAGTAATACCAAGTACTGCATACGAATTAGAAAAACCCAGGAGAGAATGGCCTTCAGAAGTAATTTTTCTGTCTGACACTAGACTGTTAATTTGAAGTTGATAACTGTTATCTTATTGCTGACCTCAGAAGGATGAAATCATTGCCAATTCCAGATACAAATACATGTTGCTTATTCCCAGAACTCCCTGTGTGTTGGTCTAATGACCGTACAGCTTGTGGCTTGTAAAGGCTTATCTAGATGACATCTTAATACGAAGACAAAATATTGGTTATATTTATTATTAGGACATATTAACTGAGGTATCCGTTTTTCTCAGGGTGAGGAATCTGTTTCTTGCCCAACAATCTGATGGCTCTTCCAAGCACTATTGGCAAGCTGTGCAATTATACATGGCAGCGCTTTCTAATAAAAGGAGATGACATACGGCTGCAGGCTATCTGAAATAACGGCTCAGGCTGTCCTGTAAACTGAAGAGTTTCTGTAGGCGCTGTAAATGTTTGAGGCCTGCTGGATATCTTTCCGTTTCAGAGCAGTAAGGGCTCTCGGGATGCGCGTGGAGTTACAGAGAAGGCTCTGAGAAGGAGTGAAAGTCAGGAGCAGCAAGAGCAGGGCATGCTGTAAGACACAGACAAGTGGTAAATCTTTATTCTTCGTGGGAGAAACTGCCGCTGTGAGGGAGAAGGGGATGCGCGGTGCCCGCCTCGAAGTTCTCTCCCTACCAGTTGTGTTTCCCTGGATGTGGCAACCACACAGTTTGCTTTCCCACCGCTGAGATGAGCTGTTAAGAAAGCAGAAATGTGTGTGTGCACGTGCCGGGGGTGGGAGGGGTGATGGGAAGGGCCTGGAAGGGAGAGAGGAGATGAGGGGGAAAGCGAACAGCGTGTAATGCTTCCAGATGAGGGTGAGAAGGTGGTGGCGCACATGTTAACAGGGACGGAGGCTGGAGAGTAGGCACGCGTGGATTGCAGAAAAAATCGGCTACGATCCTTTTCAGTGAACAGCAAAGGAAGGGTTCTGTCACAGGCTTTTTCTTCGTGGTACGGTTCTGAGCATTGCCGGTAAGAAACAGCTGTTCCTCTTGATCCTCTGCAGCGGGCAGCCTCTTCTCTGGGCCAGGTAAGGTGGGAGAGGAGGAGCTGCTTCAACAGGAGACTCTGGCTTAGCTCCAGACCTGGTGGAGCACTGAGCACGTATAACTGAAGGAAAAAAGGAGGGGAGCTGCGGGTAGAGGGCTTTGCGTGCAACTTTCGAGTGGGATTTCACGGGGCCGCAGCTTAACTGTCTTTTCACAAGAAACTGAATCTTCTGTTGCCATGCGGTTGCGTCTTCATAGGCCTGTCTCCGCGCTCCTTTTCGTAGTGCCCCATGGTGCCCTTCGTTGTTCTTGAGCAATATCCTTGAAGTGCCTTCCTCTTCTTTTGTGCATCCTGTTCCACTCTGACGTTTCTACTTCCCGCTTTTCAGATTGATTCTGTATTTTTTTTATCTTACCAGAGTGTGAATTTTCAAGACAAAAAACTTTTTCCTAACTTCAATACTTGTGTTAATTAAATTGCAGCGTGCTCCCTTAGTATCTCTAAAATCTTGACATCAAATCTCTTAGGACAGGCAACAGCCTGTATTTTCTGAGAAGAGGGTTCGTTCTTAAGGTACCTCTGGTGCTGGCGCGTCTCTCTTTCCAGTGCTTTGATGCGAAATAGGCCAGAAATCCAGAAAAAGAGGATCGAGTCGCTGAGAGTCAACGATTTGGGGTCAGCTGTGTGTGGTTCGGGCACATTCACGACCTCGTCGCGAGCCGACCTGCGTTCGCCGCCGTTGCGCAGCCGACGCCCGCGGCAGCGCCCTGGGCTCTCCCGGGCCGCGGCAGGTAGGCGGCGATCCCGGGGTGAGCGGCGCCGCGCGTTGTTACTGCGTTCGCCGCCGTTGCGCAGCCGACGCCCGCGGCAGCGCCCTGGGCTCTCCCGGGCCGCGGCAGGTAGGCGGCGATCCCGGGGTGAGCGGCGCCGCGCGTTGTTACTGAAGGAGCCACAGGGCTTTTTGGGGGGAAGCGCGGGCGCGGCGGCCTGGGGGGCGCGCGGGG